GCGATGCTCAGAGACTATGGGGTGCTGGGTATCAGTCCGGATTGAGTGCACACTAGGGAATGCATCCAAACCACATTACCTCCTGTTTTATGATCCCCATTTGTCCCTGTCTCCCTTTTTTTTTTTTATAAAACACAGGCAAAAAAACCCCAACTCCCTAATGTAGCCTCAATGGAATTTCTCTACTACATCTTATTGAAATATTGTGATTTACAACATCGTTAATACTAGTTTCATGCATCTATCTGTCTATACCACCATAGCCCATTCACCACCAGAGCGGTGGAAGGGTTTCCTTCCATCAAAGTCCCAGGAGCCTCTCCTATTTATACCCTCCCACCAAAATCAAAACCAAACCCACCTCAGTGCTATGGACCAGCACTCCAGGTCTGCCACTGCCACCTTTGGTGGCCATGTTTTTAAAAAGGTTATTAAAGTAGGGGAAACAAATAATGATTCAAAGGGGAGGAGCAGCCACAGGGAAGAACTAACCCCTCCCCCTTTCATTAAGATCCTAAGTATTAACATTTTTTTTTTTGGCAGGTGAATTCCAGGAGCATCCTTGCCTGAGTACTGAGTTTCAGGACTGGGGCTGACCCGTCCCCTAGAGTTTGGCAAAGAAGTTCTGTAGCTAATTTTTTGGGGGGGATGTCCACACCGGGGGGTGCACAGGGGTTACTAAGGGGTTCCTCCTGGCTTTGCAGTCCGGAATTAGTCCTGGCGGTGCTCGGGGGATCCTATGGAATGCTGGGAATCGAACCGGGTTGGCCGGGTGTAAGGCAAACCCGCTGTGCTATGGCTCCAGCCCCCAAGTTGTGTAGCTTTGATAAAACTTCAAAGGTGATCAAGTGATCTGGAAGCTTCCCTCGGTGCTGGGTGCTGGGAGCTGGAGCGGGTAGAGAAAGGTGTTGGTGATTAAGAGATGACTCCGGTTGGTTTTGTCCTGAAACACGTGTCAGCTCTTGGCTTGATCTAACGTGGCTTTTTTTTCGGTGAGGTTTGCTTGTTTTTTTCCGTTTTCTTATTTCCTTCCTTCTCTTGGCTCCCGGGGCACCAAGAGGGGCTTTGTCCTTTCTGTGTGTGTGTGTGTGTGTGTGTGTGTGTGTGTGTGTGTGTGTGGCGGGGGGCATCTTAGTCTACCTGGTCCCAGCTCAGATTCCTGGTACCGCTCTGCTGCTTCCCCAGGCTCAGTCCCAAGACTAGGTCAAGCTGTCCACTAGGTGCAGACTCGCCTCGGAGAAGTGACTCACTGTCACTTCTCCAAAGTACTCTTGGAAGGTTGAGCTTGGAGGGTGGGGGTGGGGGTGTGGGGGGGCGCTCTTTAGCTCCAGCAGTAGGTGCTGAGGCTGCGATTTGGGACACCTGCACCCCACGTGGTCCGTCCCTTGGGCTCAAGGGGTCAACCCGCGGGGGGAGGGGGGCACACTGCGTTCTGGGGAGCGCGTGGTCACAGTTTAAAAAAAAATAAAAAGAAAGAAATCGGACGTGTACGGGGCGAGACTAAGATCTCCGGCAGGTCCAGCCGGGGTGAGCCGACCCCGTCCGTCCAGACAAGACAGACACAAGGGGGTCTGGAAAAGACCCTCCTGGGGGGCGGCGGGGGCGTCTTTGGCGCCCCTCGGGCCCGTGCGTCCCAGCGGCGGCGGGGCTGGGGGGGACCCCGGGCAGGCGCGCAACGGCCGCCGCGCCCGGGGTAGGGGTGAGCGTGGGGGGGAAGACCCGCGCCCGCCGCCCGGCCCGGCCCGGCCGCGTCCCTCCGCCTCCCCGCGCGCGCGGCCCGGGGCGGCCTCCGCGGGCCGCGCCGGGGCCGCCTCGCACTGCGCATGAGCGGGAGCCCGGCGAGCCCGTGAGAGGAGCCGCCGCCGCCACCGCCGCCGCCGCCGCCGCCGTCCATTCGCTGCGGAGCCGGAGGAGGAGGAGGGGAGCGGCCTGGAGGACACCAACATGGTGAGGCACCCCCGGTCCGGCCCGGCTCGGCTCGGCTCGGCCCGGCCCGGCCCGGCTGGCCCCCGCGCCCGGCGCCCGGCCCGAGGCCTCCCGCCCGCCTGCCCGCCCGCCGCCTCGCCCCGGCCTCCCGCGCCCCTGCCCGCCCGCCCGGCCCGGCGCCGCCGCTACGCGAGAGCCGAGGAGGCGGAGCGGCGCGGGGCCTAGTCGGGAGCTCCGGGGAGCCGGCGGCGCGGGCGAGGGGTCGGGACGGGACGGGAGGGGACGGGAAGGGGCAGCGGCCCCGGCCCCGGCCGGCTCTATTGTGTCGCGCCGGGGACCGGGCTCCGGGGTTCCGGGCGAGGAGCCTCCCGCCCGGCCCGGCCCGGCCCGCGGGCAGGAAGGACTCGGCGGCCCCGCGCCCTGCTCGGCGCCCGGGCCGGGCTCCCCGCCGCCGCTTCCCCGCCGCCCGCGCCCGCCCGCGGGAAGCGCCGAGTCGGGCCACGCTCCGTGGACGCCCCCCTGCGAGCCGGCGGGGACGCGGCGCTGCGGGGACGCGGGGACGCGGGGGTGGGGGGGGAAGGGGAGCGAGTGCGGAAGTGCGGCGGGTCCCCTCGCCCGACCGAGAGCCGCGAGGAGCACCCCGGCCACGCCTCGGGAGCACCTCTGCTTTGGGCTCGGGAGGAGCCACCGCTCTAGGGTGCTGGCTGGAGAGCGCTTGGGATCGGAGGGAGAAAAGTTTGCCAAGTTCTCTCTCTCTCTCTCTCTCTCTCTCTCTCTCTCTCTCTCTCTCGTGTGTGTATGTGTATGCATGCATGCATGCATGCATGCGTGCATGCGGAGCAGGTCGCTGTTGGGGGGCGGTCGGGGAACCGTCACGACCCCCAAAGAGCCGGCAGCCCAGTTCCCTGCTCACACTTGGGGCGATCCCGGACCCGACTCCGGGCTCTTGCGTGTTTTTTTTTGTTTCAGACCCGCTCGTGGGCCGTACCCAGCGTGGCGTGTGGCTCGAGGGCCGCCGCGCGGTTGCTGTGTGAGAGAGTGGGGCCAGTCCGCATGCTGGCGGGCGCGTGCCGCGGAGGCCACGCGGGCTGCGTGTCTGGGTGTCCCGTGTCTTTTGTCCTTGGTGACGCTGAGCCGAAGCCTCCTCCTGGACAGTCGCTTGGTGTCCCCCGTTGGCCTCGCTCAAGACTGACCCGCCCCCGGGGACTTGCCTCGGTTCTTCCCGCCTTGTAGGAAGACCCTGCCTGCAAGGACCGGATCTGAATCGGGCTGAGACCGTATTCAGAGATCCACCAGGTGTCCAAGGAAGTGTCTGACAGCCACAGACAGATTCCTGAAGTTGCCAGACCCTTTGGCAAGCGTGTCGAGTTGATCGCTTGAAGCCATGAAGGGGGATTCTCGGCCAACCATGCTCTGGAGAGCCCCAAAATTCATTCCCTTGGCAGCCGCAGGGTCCGAGCATCCTCCAGGTCCCAAGGCCTGGGGAAGGTGCCATACCTGGCCAGGAGTCCTGAATGTGTGCAGTCCACAGGAGACTTCGTTTGAGTTGGCACTTGCATCGCTTCTCTCCTTTTATTGATAGAAAATCAGTTTGGGGGATTTAGCCATAACTCATGTACAGAGACCTGTAATGACATGAGACCGCTAACCGTGCTCTTTGGCGGAACTTCGATCATGTCACTAGAATCTCCTTCATGTGCTGTTCTTGTGAGTTTAGAAATCACAGTTAACTCTAACCAGAGTTAGGCCATCAGGATTTTAAACATTTTTTTAGGTTGATTGTTTCTTCATCCAGTTTAGGGCCTAATGTAAGTTGTGCGATGTGTGTGTGTGTGTGTGTGTGTGTTGTGTGTTTAGCCCATTTCTAGGGCATTTAGTTGTCAGTTCTAAGGCTCACTTCCCTAACAGACTATCTGAAATATTTTCTGTAAGGAAAAAAGTTGTCTAGTTAACCCACCTGATGTATACACAGGAAAATAGATACATCTTTAAAACAGCATTCTTTTCACTCTTGAAAACTCAAATGTGTTCAGAATTTTCAGGTTATTTTATTGTAAGATGAAAGGATTGAACTTCATGATTTATAAAGTTTAGCATGAGGATTTTGTGACTCAGGATTTTTTTATTAGATGTGGGAGAAGTATGTAGACACTGTAATCTAGTAGATTTTTATAGACTCACGGCACCATAGCATTTTTAGAACTTAAAGGATTGCAAAAATTGTCTAATTGTCTGCTCTTCCATTTTTTTCACAAGAGGAAATCTAGAATTGAGGTTTTGAGGCTCAAATTTGCAAAATTGTTAGTTGCAGAAAGTTACTCCTGGGTTAGTGTTTCATCCAGTGTTTTCCTTGTACATATATATCTTTTAAGTCACATCAAATTGGCTAAAAAATTAGCTGAAAATTCAACTCGAAACTATATTTGGGGAAAATCCAAGTGTTAGTAAGGTAACAAAATTTAGATTAATGGATCAGTGTATTAATTACAATGTTTTTAATGGCCTTAAAAGATATGGGGATTTTGAATTTATAGATTCTATGCGGTTTTTTTTTGGGGGGGGGCGGGGTTGGTGTTTGGAGCTACACCTGGTGGTGGTCAGGGCTTACTCCTGACTCTGTGCTCAGGAATTACTCCTGGTACAGCTCTGAGGATCATAATGTGGTGCCAGGGATTAAACGTAGGCCAGCGTGTTAGGCAAGTGTCCTATTTGCTGTTCTCTGTGCAGCCCTGAATTTAAAGATTTTTTTCACTAATGTCAACTTTATAAATTCAGTGAATGTAGGCTGTTCAAGGTTGTCTCTTGAGAACTTGTAAATATTCTTTTGCATATCGACAACGCAATTAAAGCACTTAATTCATATATATACACATATATTCATACATAACTCCAATCCTGTTTCGTGGCAGGCATTGTTCTAGGCACTGGGGAGATGGATACATATGTTCCTGTATGTATTCACTGAAAAGATAAACTATCTGGAGAGGGTTACATTTCATTCGGAAGTGACAGACCTGTGTTTTTCTCTTTTTCCTTAGAAGGCAGTAAGAGCTATGGGAAAAGAGCATTGTTAAGGAGGGAAGTTGGGAGTGCTGTGGAACAGTGGAGGGGGGCGTGCAAGTCCTGCCTGCACTGCTGATGGGGTGAATACTCAGGAAACACCGCCACGCACAGAAAATGGTGAGAAGTGGTCCGACCAGTGTGGCTGGGGTGGAGGGGGTGGTGGTGGAGACACGTGAGGTCTGAGCGGCCAGGAGTGAGTGCTGTGTGGACACCAGGCTTTACTTGGAAAGAACTGGCAGGTCTCTGAAGGGTTCTGATTCGTAGGAAAAAACCTCGTCGCTGCTCCCCCGTAGTGTTCTTATAATTATTTTAAAAGCAGTTGAACTCTTCTCCCCCACCTGTGTTGGGGATAGGGTATACAGGGCTACTCATGGCACCCTGCTTCTGGGGTCCCTGCAGACAGTGCTAGGGCCGTGTGCCCGGACTTGAACGGAGGATTCTGCATGCAGAAGTTGTGCTGCAGCCCTTTGGGCCATCTCTCAGGCCCTCACAGTTTTAGCAAGTAGTATAGTACTGTAGTCTTCCTTCCCACAGAGCTTCCTTGTACAGAGCCTTTTATTCTGTTGAAGATGACTGCCCAGTATCCTATAAAAAACTAGTTGACCATCGTATTTACTTTTCCACTCTAGTTAATGAGAACAATGCAACAGAACCTCTTTTATAGATTGCTTTTGAATATGTTGTACTTGATCATTTAATGTAGAAAGCTGGACCTTTCGGAAGGAAAGATGTTAACCATTGACCATTAGTCAATTTACAACCCTTATTTAGTCTCTCCTTGGTCAGGTCTTAGTGTCTCTTTCATCTGTTTATTTTAAGTGTGTTTATTTTAAACGGAGGCTAAACAATTTTAAATAGACCAAGGTAAAAAACTAACATGTGGCAGAGTAGAAATGAAAAGTTCCTCTGATTCCGTATTATGCAACTCATACTTAAAAAACCTGCAAGCACCCTTTCAGTATAGGTGGAAATTTATTAGTTTCACTCTGGTTTCTTATCACATTAGACCACATTGAAGAGTGACCTAGTTGTTTCTATGTCAGCATAAGTGATCTGCTGTAAACATTGAGGTAATTGAAAAATTAAAACCCTTTTGGTATATGTAGTAAGAAAATTACAATATTGGATCCTGAGTGATGGTACCACAGGTAGGGCGCTTGCCTTGCATGTGGTGGATCCAGGTTAACTCCCTAGCACCCACATAATGTCTCTGGAGCCTGGCTAGGATCGATCCCTGAGCATAGTGCCAGGAGTAAACCCCGAGCACTGCTGGGTGTGGCCCAAAAACCAAAAAAAAAAAAAAAAGAGTTTTAATGTAAAATTGGACTCCGGTGGTAACGTCCTTCCCACTTACCCTCATAAAAAAAAATAATTTCAGACACGTGAGATCCTTTACTTAGGTTACTGATTGATGATGATCTTATAGGTTGGGGCCAACATAATGAATATCTGTGAGAAAGCTCCCTTTCAGTTTTAATGTATTCACGTTGTGATGGGCCACAGCGATAGCACAGCGTGTAGGGCGTTTGCCTCACACGCGGCCAACCCGGGTTTGATTTCTCTGCCCCTCTTGGAGAGCCCAGCAACCTACCGAGAGTATTCCACCCGCCCAGGCAGAACCTGGCAAGCTCCCCATGACGTATTTGATATGCCCAAAACAGTAACAACAAGTCTCACAATGGAGATGTTACTGGGGTCCGCTCGAGCAAATTGATGAGCAACGGGAGAATGGTGCTACAGTGCTCAGGTTGTGATAGTATTAACCATTGCATTCGAAGAAGAGACATGGTTTCAAATAGGGTTTAGGACTCCATGCTTTGTGGACACAAGCTCTTGAGCAGTTTACAACACCACCCCCCCCACCATCTACCCCTGCCCCAAGAAAAAGCAAAAACAGGAGGAAACGCATCTTTCAATACTTAGAAGTGTGCAGTTTATAGAATTAACACCCAATCACTGTAAACGACTAGGCTGCTTGTCTGCACTGTCAGGTTTTGAGAGATCTTTGTTTTTCTTTGGGCCCCAGCATTGCCCCGGGGCTGTTGCTCTGGTGACCCACTATGATGCTGGGTATTTGAACTGGGGGAGGGAGGTCAGGTACAAAGCAAGCAACTTAGTCCTTCTATTACATTTTCAGCCCTAAGATACTTTATTTGTTTGCTTGTTTTGGCTTTGGGGCCACACTCAGCAATGTGCAGCACTTGCTTCTGACTCTGTACTCAGGGATCACTCCTGGCGTGCTCAGGGACCATAAATAAGGGTTGCTGGGATCGAACCTGGTCACTGTGCAAGGCACACGTCCTACCCACTGTACTATTGCCCTGACCCCTGAGATCTTTACTTGTAAACAGTTCTTTTTCTAAAGAATTTTGTAGCGTTACACCTTTGCGTCCCTTAACCTGAACACCATGTTCTATAGCAGATCAGTTGCTTAAGCACATGACCCATCCCTTTGTAGGGGATCTTTCTTTCAGTAAACATTTAGAGTGCGTATTTATTATTCATAGGATTCTAATATTTCTGGATTTTGGATTTGAGTGAGATACCAGATCTGGGAAATAAGAGATTTCATTTTTTCAAGGAATCATTCGCTTTATGAAACTAATACTGCATGACTGTAACTATGAAACTTTGAAAAAAAAATCTTCATGGAATTTCTTTAAAATTTTTTTCTTTCCTCAGTAATTTTTCATACCTTGAGATTTACTTAGAAAATAAGTCTAATGAAGAGGAAAAGCAAATTTAAATGAGCTGTCTTGATTGTGTTAGAAGATCAAAACCGGTAGTTTGGGAGAACTATTGAAATATGGTAGCTCACATATTTTAAGGCCCATACTGTGTATATTAACAAAGTTGATCAGCTGTTAGAAAAAGCAACTTTCAGTAGTTAAAGCAATCTTCTCCAAACCAGTCAAGCGTTCCATTTACAGTGGTAGGAACCTCTTAAATAAAAATTCTGTGTGGGGAAGAGAAAATATTTTAAATTTCCCTTAGAGTGTTTGTTTGAAACCGGTGAGGAAAATTCTTAAAAATGTACCAGAGTTGGGGGCCAGGGAGATTACGCAAAGGGCTGGAACACATGCTTTACATGTGAGTGCCCGGATGACTGTCCCGGGCATTGCAAGGTCTCCTGAGCACCAAGCATGACAATAGCCCTCCCAGGACTCTTGAGTAAGGCCCCCCCCCCCCCCCCACACACACACCCAGATTGGATCTTACAACTAAACGTCCAGGAACTTTTTTTTCTTTTAAAGGTGAATTGCTATTGTATAGAAATATCAGTACAATAACTAGTCTGTTATTCCTCGATGGACTTAGCAATATATTACTATCTCTTAAAATGTTTTACCTGCCAAAGTGCAGTAAGTTTTCAAATGAACAATACCAAGGACAAGCCTAAGTATAAGTAATTATTCTAAACTGCGGATTATAATTTAACAGAATACTGAAAACTTTTCTGGTTTTGTATGTATATGAAATTGTACACATTTGCTTGTTCTTTTAGCAATATTGTACATGTGTTTGTGTTTTTCTCTGGGTTTCAAGCCTTTTCACTGGAAAAGATAATACCAGCTTTTACTGCTTCCCTAATTTTCATCTCCCTACATTTTAAAAACTCGATTTTTAATCCATCTTTTCAATAATAAACTATTATAAAAATATAGTAAACAAGACTGTAAACTCATTTTTCTTCTTGTAGAATTACTTAAAAATAACCCATCATTTTCTCCCTTGTAAAACCCTGAAAGGGAAATGCCTATCTTTTTGAGTTAGTTTATGAGGGAAAACCTAATGGACAGTTTTTAGTCAGAATACAAATTGTTTACATTTGGAAAGGGGAAAAGTCAAAATTTCCATTAGAAATAGGTGCAATGTTTTTATTGCTCACCTTTCCATTTTTTTTTCCTCTAGCACACACAAAAAATGTGGTTATACTTTCATCTGTTCTGTTTTCCTTTTATTGGCTATGTTGAATCAGTGGAAAGTGGCCTTGAAGCCAGTCACCAGAATTTCTCATTTCTAGCCCCACTAATTGAGCTTTGGAGGCTTGTTAGAATGGAATCAGTAATAGCCACCTTGCAGAATTAAGGAGTAGATCACTAGCATAGTATTGGCACACAGTAGGATCTCAGATGTTGGCTACCAGTTTTCTGATTATTGTGCTTCTTCCTTTAACCACTTATGTAAAATTATTTTTCCCCCTCTGGAGTATTGTCTTTTCCTCATGGACTTGTAAAGGAGTCTTTTATTATATGCTTGTTACAGTTTTAAGAGTTTAACCTGAATTAATTTATCTAGCCATCACACTATTTATAGGTGAAGAAGTCGAAGCACACAGAGATGAAGTAATTTTCCCAAAGTCACACAGCAATTAAGAGCACATGTGGGATTAAAATCCTGCCGGTCTGGCGGGAGAGTCTGCATTCATTCCTAATCATGCACTCTTCACTAATCAAGTCCTTCAGCCTCTGATTCTGTGCGGGTAGGTAGAGAGGAAGAGGAGTTCTAGCTACACCTACCTGTGTTCTTCGTGGGCCTCTCCTGCTGAACTTTTGCCCCTAGGTGAAAGTATCCTTTTGAGAGTAGGTAGTCTTGTTAGTTGAATTGATTTTTCCTACTCTTTTGACCTCAGACCTACAGTTTATGGGAAGGTCTCTTATAGATGAGTGGTTTGGAATATTGGTAACATTTGGCTCTATTTGATAAATACTATGTAGCACACGTGGAAAGTATGACTTTTCTGTACTAAAATGAGCTCTTTAGGTTTTGAAGTTAAACCGTTAATCATATAAATATGAGAACATTGCTTTTAGTGATAATTATGGGTGATCCTTACAGTGTTTTGATCCTGAAAACGTTGCCTTTTGTGAGCTAGATAAGTCAAATCCTGATATAACTAGGATTGTCACTGTCACTGTCCTCCCGTTGTTCATTGATTTGCTCAAGCGGGCCCAGTAACATCTCCATTGTGAGACTTTGTTGTTACTGTGTTTGGCATATTGAATACACCACAGGGAGCTTGCCAGGCTTTGCCATGCAGGCGAGATACTCTCGGTCGCTTGCCGGGCTCTCCGAGAGGGGTGGAGGAATCAAACTCGGGTTGGCCATGTTAGCTGTGTGAAAGGCTAATGCCCTACCCGCTGTGCTATCGCTCCAGCCCATAACTAGGATTGAAGTAGAAAATTAATTCCTTTAAAACTATCAAGGTCTCAATGTCTGCTTCTTTGTGTTCATACAAAATTTGAAGCCAGAGTTGAGAATCTGAAAAACAGAATGGAAATAATAAAATAAATCCAAAATTTTGGCTTTGAAAATATCACTTATTATGTGTATTATAAAGTTTAGACTTAATTAACTTCCCTCTCCCTTGTTTATTGTTGTTTTATTTGAGGGAAATGCAAGAAGAATTTTTTTTTTTTAACTCTTTTTGGTTCTTGAGCCACACTTGGCTGTGCTCAGGCCTTAGTATTGACTCTGCACTCAGGGATCACTCTTGGTGGAACTCGGGATCATATGGGCTTTTAGGAAATGAACTCAGATCAGCTGTGGGCAAGGCAAGCACCCTACCTCCGGTACTAAGTTCTCCCTAGCCCTACAGGAGGAATTTTGAAACATGATATGCTTCTTAAAAAAAAAAAACCCTCTAGAATATCCTTTCTGATTTCCCACTTTTATCACAATATACTTGTACGTTCAGTGGAAAAATATACTTGACTATATAATACTTAGCTACATCAAACAGTTAAGACTTTTTTTCCCCCCCAGATAAACTTTTATTTGAGATGTGAGTCTTCTTGAGTGAACTAGTGCTAGTTATAAGTATTAAACAGTATGTATATATGTATTTTCATTTTTTATTTTTTAATGAATCACCGTTAGAGACTTACAAACTTTGTGCTTACATTTCAGTTATACAATGATCAAGTACCCATCCCTCCACCAGTGCTCATTCTCCACCACCAATGTTCCAGTATTTCTCCCCCTGCCCTGCCGCCTCTGTGGCAGGCAGATTCCTTTTTATTCTCTCTACTTTAGGGGTCTGCAATGCAGGTATTAAGTGGCCATCATGTTCGGTCTGTAGCCTACTTTCAGCACTCCCATCCTGAGCGGGTCCTCCCAGCATCTTTTACTTGGTGGTCCCTTCTCCATCTGCACTGCCTTTTCCCCCAGCATGTGAGGCCAGCTTCCAAGCCATGGAGCAATCCTGGTCTTTATCTCTACTATCCTTGAGTTAAACAGTGTGTATTTATAACCAAATATTTTATTTTAGAAAGATTAGCAAGTAAGTATTCCTTACTGCTAGATTATGGTAGTCTTTTCTGAATTAGACAAATTGTCAAATCGACTTAAGTGCAATTTTGTTAAACTGTAGTTAACTTTCTATTAGGAGACAGTTTTCTGTTCTCTCCTCTAGTATCCCTTTCTTGCTCTTGCTCCCCTTCCTCCTCTTTCCTGGATTTCTTTCTTTTGAGGTGGGTGCTAGAAATAAAAATACTCAGTGTGTTCTATGCTTGATGCAATTTTTATACTAGTGTAGGATTTCCTAGAAAACTTGTGGTACCTAACTTTGGGTACTAAAGCTTGTATTGCTACTCTTAATGACCAGTCTAGTTTGTTTCTTTCAAATAAGCCTTAAAGTATAGGGAATCCACTCCATTTATGTGCTGAATCATTTTTTTAAGGGTTTTTTTTTTTTTTTTTTGCTCTTAGGAAGCTCCCTACGGGGTTTGCTATAGAAATAGAGAAAATCCATTTTTTTCTTACACCTGTTTTTAAATTCATAGTCATGACCCCTGGAAAATGATTCTTTGGTGACTAGATTCTTCTTTTTAAAAATCAGGAAAAATGTAAGCCTTTGGTACATACTTCAGAATCTGCACACCTTGACTGGTGCCCCTTATGTGGTCTGGGGGAAAAAGATGGTTCAGTGTTAATTCTTAGACTTGAGGGAAAGGCAGACACGTGTAGCGCACTCCAGGTCTACTTCACATCAGCTTTTAGCGCATAGGGTTGAGTGTGTCTCTATAATAGGAGAGCAAGTATTAAGATTTCTTCTAGCAGAGGAAAGGTAAAAATCTACATTATAATATGGAAGGGGGGGGTACTTCCTAGACTCCTAGGAGCAGGAATACTTAACCCCACTCAGCCTTCCAGCAACCTCTACTATCAGCTTTCTGTCCGGTATCACTCAGGTATTTTATTTTTGTTGTTCTTGGGCCATACCCAGCTGTGCTTTGGGTTCACTCCTGGCTCTGCACTCTGGGAGCTCTCCTTGTGGTGATCGGGGATGGAATCCAGGTTGGGTGCATGCAAGGCAAGGACCCTACCCTTTGTAGGTTAAAGGGTCTCTATCTGGAAGGTATCACTGTCTCATCTCTTTGGAAATGGGTAGCTGCAGCCCCTTTTCTTATCTATATCATTAGCAGTGTTCTGTAAATTCAAGCCAATTCAAATAGTTCATACTTAACATTATATATTTGTTACATACGTAAAAATATGAAGTGAGATAATTCATTTGTATAGTTTTGTTTGGGTAAGATGCTATTTTGGGCCTGTCTTCTCCTATCCCAATTTCTTACTCTCTGACAGGAAGTCTGTAGTGGAGTGACTGGCTCTCTTGAGATTTGCTGGAGTGAAATTGTGTGTGCCACCCGCCCCCACCCCCACATTTTTTCATGTCTTTTAGGGACGAGAGCACCGGATTTAATACTGAGTAATAAAATAATCCTGATTGGTTCCCTTCCTTAACTTGGAGGAGAATAAAGGGAAAGTGGAAAGTTATTAAAAGAAAATACACCTGGGGTAATTCTGAAGAAATTTTAGGATGTGGCCTGTGGTTGATATATTTCTAGGTTAAAATCCAGTACTTTCTGTATCATTAAATAGTAGTCTTGAAGATCATGATGACCCTCAGATACTTTTCTGTTTTTCAGAGATGGATTAAAACATAGCTCAGTATTCTATATCTTTCAAGGGAGAAAGGAATCTAATTTTAGAAATAGTTTTCAGTAGCAAAAGTTGAGATCAAAGTGGTTTTCTTTCACATGAAGTAGCAACTTGGGAGTTGCTTCTGATGGTGCTCAAGGGACTGTGCGGTGCCAGGGATCAAACTCAGGGCTCCCACATGTAAAGCGTGTGCTCCAGCCCTTTGATCTTCCCAGCTCTGAAATGTTTTTCCAAAGGAAGCTATTTGGTAATTGAGAGATGTCAAGTGAAGGGATGATGAGTTATTTGCTGTTCAGTGGTTCGATAGAATTCTTAGTGAAGTAGGATGTTAGTGATCTTACAGTTTCTCAAGTTTAATAAACACGTTGAGACTTTTAAGTCTGTGATCCCAAGCGCTAACATATTTACAGAGACTGCTAATATACCTTATACCTGCCATCAGGTTTCAAGGCATCAGTATTTTTCATATTGCAGGACATAGGGTTGGTCTCCAAACTTGATTTTGCAAAGTTTTATTTTTGTGTTGTGATAGAATCATTTCTCTCTTTGATAGTTTTTTCTTGAAGTTTATAAGTAAAGTTTATAAATAGTGTATGGTGGGGCTGGAGTGATAGTACTGCAGGTGAGGCCTTCCTTGCACGCATATGACCTGGGTTCCAGCTCTGGCACCCTCCCCCCAGGTGAAAAACAGACTCCCATTAAAAATTATCTTGTAAAGTACTTGCTCATATTTCACTGCTTCTAATTTGTGTGAAAACACAAGGAAATTTTCTTGATAATTATTTTTGTTCCTGGAAACCTTCAGGAGAAGTACAGTTACTTGCTCACTAAAAGTAACAAGAAAACAAATGGGGTGTGGTAATGTGAGACCTGTACTTTACGTTCTTTGTTTTAATACTACACAAACACCTGCTAATCTCGTTGTTCCCTAGGGTTATTTGAATTTTCTGACTGGCTAGATTATACCATGTTTCTCAGCACTATTATATGCATCCTTTTAGAGCTTTGTGCCTGACCAAAAACTTAGTCAGGATTTTGACAGTAGCCAGGCTTTCTGTGTAGTAGTTATACGTTGTCTGATGGTGTGTTGTAAGAAATGCTGAATGGTTGAACTTCCTTTGCCTCTATCCTAGTGCTTTTCCCCCAAATTTTGTGGTTTAGGTTTTAATTCTTTTGTTTTTATATTTGGGCCACACTCTGCTCAATCCAGGGCTTACTCCTGGCTCTGTGCTCAGGTATCACTCTTGGCAGGACTTGGGGGACCATGTGTTGGTAATTCCAGAGATTTAATCTGGGTCAGCAGCATGCAAGGCTTCTGTAAGCACCTTACTCACTGTACTCTCTCTTGGTTTAGATTTTTATGAAATACATCTTTCTGATGAAAAGGAAATAAAAAATAAGCCTTGAACTAAATAAAATGTTTTATAAGACAAAAACATTGCTATTAATAATGAGTCAGCCATATAGAAATACTTCGTTCTCTGTGACTTTACATCGTTTCAGTTTGTTTTCTGATTTCAATAGAACAAGTTGAAATCATCGCAGAAGGATAAAGTTCGTCAGTTTATGATCTTCACACAATCTAGTGAAAAAACAGCAGTAAGTTGTCTGTCTCAAAATGACTGGAAGTTAGATGTTGCAACAGACAATTTTTTCCAAAATCCTGAACTTTATATACGAGAGAGTGTAAAAGGATCACTGGACAGGAAGAAGTTAGAACAACTGTACAATAGATACAAAGGTGAGTGTTTGCGCGTGACTAAATATTTTGCACCAGATTTCTAAAGTTGAATGTTTCTTGTGGGAAATAAAATAAGACACAACTAAATGGGATGGAAGTGGCCTGCACAGCTCTGTAGATCTTAGAATCGCTCCAAAAGATCTGAGAGAAAAATGTTCTAACAGCATTTTTTCTTAGCCTGTTTATTTCCATCTTTTAACTCCCTGATGGACCAGTTTAAGTCTTTTTCTTATTCTTTTGAGAAACAGTAATTAATAGCATGATCCTTTCATGTACTTTAAGTTTATTTAGAAATGTATGTATGTTGGAGTTTCTTTTCAAGATTTTTCCAAAATTGGAATTACATTTTGTTTATGTTCAGAAGTCATAGGTTGTTAAAAATCCATTCGATAGGGGCTGGAGCAATAGCACAGCGGGGAAGGTGTTTGCCTTGCACGTGGTCGACTCAGGTTCGATTCCCAGCATCCCATATGGTCCCCTGAGCAACGCCAGGGGTAACTCCTGAGCATAGCCGGATGAGACCCAAAAAGCAAAAAAAAAAGAAAATTTAACAATATATGTGATTCTAGTTGTCCTTTTTCTCCTTATATTTGTCTCTTTTTTTCTGTCTGAAGAGAATAAATGTTTATGGTTTGGTTTATTCAATTTTTAATATTTTGGGCTGACTTTGAAAATACATGTAATTGAAATGATTGCCGTGGTGAAATGAAAAACTTTTAGGGGAGGGCACAGCCAGTGGTCAAAGGCAGATCCTACGATGCCTGGGAAACCTCTGGGGTGCCAGGGTCGGGGTGCCAGGGTTTGAACCCAGGTCTTCTGTATGCAAATTTGTCCTCTCCAGTCCTTTGCGCTATCTTCCTAGCCCCAAAGGAACTTATTTATTTATTTTTTTAATGTGACTGTTCTCAGGGTTTACTCCTTACTCTATGCTAACGGATAACTCCTGGTAGGGCTGAGAGTGCTGGGGATTGTGTGGCTGCAGGATCGAGCCTGTCTTGGCTGTGTGCAAGACGGGGGCACCTGACCGTCTTGCTGTGTGCAAGACGGGCACTTGACTGTATTTCTCGCCCCAAATGAACTTTAAAGGAAAACGTTTTTGTGGCCATAGAGATACTGGTGAAGGCACTTGCATGAAGTTGACCCCAATTCGATTCCCAGTACTTCATATTGTATTATTAGCACTCCTGAGCACTGCAGAGTGTGACCCAAACCCCTACCTCATACATTTTTGGTCGATCACACTTAATTTAGAATGGTTACTTAAAATGTGGATAAGTTCAGTAAAAATTCAGTAAAGGGGTGTCTTGATTTTCTGAATGTGTGAATGTGACTTTTTCACATGAAGTGAACCCTGAGCAATGCCCCGCGTAGCCCGAAAGAAAAAAAAAATCAAGTGCCCACCTGCATATACCTTTCTAGTCTTCTTAAGGATTTTGGTGGTAGTGTCGCCTTAAATTATAAGGGAATGTGTCTGTTACAATTTGCATGTGATCATTGACATTTTAAGGAAATATCAAGTATTTATATTTTTTGCTTTGGGGAATAACATAGAGTTGGGCACTAACTTAATATTGCATCATGGTTATTTTAAAGATCCTCAAGATGAAAATAAAATTGGAATAGATGGTATACAGCAGTTCTGTGATGACCTGGCACTCGATCCAGCCAGCATTAGTGTGTTGATAATTGCATGGAAGTTCAGAGCAGCAACTCAGTGTGAATTCTCCAAACAGGAGTTTATGGATGGCATGACAGAATTAGGGTGAGTATATAAGTAACCAGAGAAAATTTGGTACAATCGCACCACATTTGATGGGATTCTAAGTAGGAAGCAATCAATCTTAGAGGGAAATATTATTTTTTACAGATATGTGTATAAAAGCACACAAGGCTCAACCTTTAACAACATATTAGTGATCTCTTAGAGAAGAGCTTAATGGTCCCTGAGTGAAATACAATAATCTTCGCACTCTTTCCTCTAAGGATACTTTTTAGTAGCATTTTCAGCGTTTCCCCATAACAATACAAAATACCAGCTTTGGGCTAGGGATTGGGGTTTGGGATGAAAACATCCGAAGTATCGTGGTGGGAAGGTGTAACAATGGTGGTGGGATTGGTGTCTGAATATTAAATGTAATCAAATATTGTGAACTACTTTATAAAATATTTTTTTAAAAATTTGGTACATTATTGTGAAAGTTACTTGGGAACTGAATCATATTTTGAAATTTTAAGTGTAAATTAAAAAAATAATCCACCAGACCACAAACTTTGAAGAGAAATGGACTCATATTCTAGTTTCTTTCCATTATTATTCAGTTTCCATGGCTTGTCATATATCTGTGGCCTGCTGTATTGTGTTACACAGCAATTTTTTTTTTTATGAAAAACTTTTTTGTTATGCTGGTGATCAAATACAGGTTTCACATTTGTGTTCTACTACTGAGCCATATTTCTAGCCTCATCCGTATTATAGTTTTGCTTGTTTCTGTTTTTTTTAAATGCATTAAGAATTAGTGGTATTAAAATCATTATTATACTTTAAATGTGACTATGCTTTAATTTTTACATGGACATATAAAATGAGAAAACTTTGATTATGAACAAACTTTGAATTTATAGAAAAAAACTCAGAATTTGAAATCTTGAAAATTACTGCACACTTTTTGTTCCAGTTGAACCTTGGCGTATTAGCTAAATGTCTTGAGATGGATTGGAAAGTCAGTGGGTAAAGATCGATTCTTTAATTTTTGATACTTAAATGAGGTTGCAAAAATATTTACAGATATGTGGCAGTTTGCCCTTTTTGTTTTTAGTGTGTGACTGTTCAGTGATAGCTAACACTTTTGAACGTTTATTTTAGAAACTGCTAAATTTTAAGAGATGAAAGAAACTGAAGTTCAGAGAAATTAGAGAATTAGAAAGTGTTAGAGACAGAGGAATATAGCAATATTTAATGTACATGTTTCGGGGCTGGAGTGATAGCATAGCAGGTAGGTCGTTTGCCTTGCATGCCGCTGACCTGGGTTCGATTCCTGGCATCCCATATGGTCCCCCGAGCACCGCCAGGAGTAATCCTGAGTGCAGAGCCAGGAGTAACCCCTGAACATTGCCGGGTGTGACCCAAAAACCTAAATAAATAAATAAATAAAATAAATGTACATGTTTTGCTACTGCCAGGAGTGATCCCTGAGTGCAGAGCCAGGAATAGACCCTGATGCCCACTGAGTATGTATATACCCATAATATATTCATGGGTGTGTATACACACACACACACACACACACACACACACACACACACACACACAGCACATACTACCATGTAATGGGGCCCCTAGGTTTGATTCCCAGTATACACAAATTACCCCCGAACCCATCCTTCCCCCCCACAAAACATAGTAATTAGAGCCAGGATTCAGTGATTTAGAGCCTGAGCATTTTTTATTTTCAACTAAAAACTAGCCAATTTAAAATTTAAAATTTAAAATTACTATTTAAAATTGATGCAGCATTGGTTTATAAGCATTTGTGTATTTATGTATAAGGGGTACATTGTAACTCTTGCCAGACCACATCTACCACCCTAGTAGCCATGTTCCTCCTCTATGGTACATGGGGCCCTTCAATCCTCTTTTCAATTCTTGGTAATCTCCTTGTCATCAGAGACTGGAAAATGTCCATTTCCTTTGAAACAATTTTTAAATTTATCCCCCTTGCCACCCTCCCCCCCTTTAAAGCAAAAGTATCACATATGGGGGAGATAATCCGAGCTGAGGGACGTTGTAATTTGGTAGGGTCCAAATAAAACACAAAGACTCATTTAAGTGAGAAAGTAAAAATGTTGTTTTTATCATGTTGGAAGAATGAGAGAGAGCTTTAAGGTCTAATATTAGGGTGCAATTGTAAAAATCTTCTATGACCCCTGGTGGCCGAGGGAAATGAATCAAGAAGAAGCCTAGAACGTGAAGAAAGAAGGTGTAGCTGCTGCAGGACCTTGATACCAGCTTTTCCTGCCACAAGGGAACTGACTGGCAGCGTGGAGCCAGGGGATTGCCACTGCCGGCGGACGCTCCTGCCCCCCCTTGGAGACTGGCCCTCTGCTGAAAACTAGCTGAAGAAAAGTTCCTTCTTTCCTGTTGAAGTCTTTATTGCCCTCTATTGGTGGAGCCTAACATTGATCCAGCTTTCAAGAAAAATGAAATCGCACAACTTGGAGTCTACTAGACAGCGCCACAGCACATTGATTAACAAATTAATAGACACAAATTAACAACAGGCCTGACACTATGTTCTGCAGTGAAAGCCTCTAGCTCTTTCAACTTGCTGAAATTTTCTATAGTAGCACAATTTTTTTCATTAGGATTCTTCATTTATTTTTCATTTGAAACTGAGGGTTTTTCACAGCACCCAAAAAGGAGAGAGAGAACAAAAGGGAATGCCCTGCCACAGAGGCAGAGTGGGATGGGGGAATGAGGGGGGTGGGAGAGGTACTGGGATCTGTGGTGGTGGAAAATGGGCACTGGTGGACGGATGGGTACTTAATCGTTGTATAATTGAAACCCAAGCACAAAAATGTGTAAGTCTACAACTGTACCTCATGGTTTGTCACTAATAAAAATTAAATTAAAAAAAAAGAAACGGGTTTTTTTGTTTGTTTTTGTTTTTGTTTTTTTCTTTTTGGGTCACACCCAGCCATGCACAGGGGTTACTCCTGGCTCTGCACTCAGGAATTACTCCTGGCAGTGCTTGGGGTACCATATAGGATGCTGGGAATGGAACCCGGGTCAGCCACGTGCAAGGCAAACACCCTACCTGCTGTGCTGTTGCTCCAGCCCTGATACTGTTTTTTCTTTTAATTAAAATGCTTTGATGAATTTCCAAATAAAGATTTTTGATCTGTTAATCCCAGAAGGTGTTATATAAACAAGAGTGAAAATAAAAGCAGTAATGATTTTGAGGAAAAAGAATTTGATTGGTTTATCAAGACATTAAGAACTAGAATATTTGTATTTGAGGGCTTTTAGGTAGAAAGTAAAATATGGTATTCAGACCCTGTCAATTCCTTAGAAGTTAAGTGCTTTTTAAATAAAGGGAAAAAAGTGTAATAAGGATTTGGCATTTCATTCAGACATGGGAGAGGTGAACCTAGCTAATACTTTGTTATTTGGGCCATACCCGCTGGTGCTTGGGGTTACTCGTGCGTCTGCTCTCAAGGAATCACTCCTGGTAGGCTTGGGGGAACCATATGGGATGCTGGGGGTTGAACTTGGGTTGACCATGTGCAGGATAAGTTGGACACGTGCAAGGCAAGCATCCTACCTGCTGTGCTATCACTCTAGCCGCAATACTTTCTACTTTGTAGATAACGATGTAAATTTTTAAGAGGAATGCTTTCTGACCTAGTAAGAGACTATTTTTGGAAATTAGGCATATGATTTGCTACTGTGTAAAGAGTATCAGTTATGGTTTAAGGGGATGATTATGTTGATTGCTATACTTTCTCATCAGTTCTCTGCAGCTTACATTTGCAGTTCCTGTGTATTGATAGTCCGATGAATTAAGTCGTTAAAAGTCATAGACTTGTTGTTTAAAAGTAGTGATTTCTGACATTTGCTCATCACAGGCCTTCTCTTCTTTTGCATGTTTGTGGAATATGAAAAGATGATTTTGCAACTGACTTTTGAAAAAAATTTCATAAAATAAATACAAGTTGTGATAGAAGTTAAGTCCTTAATTTGTAATGAAAGGTTTATTTTTTTTTTGTATATTTAAATTTACAATGTAGATGTGACAGCATAGAAAAACTAAAGTCCCAGATACCCAAGATGGAACAAGAATTGAAAGAACCAGGACGATTTAAGGATTTTTACCAGTTTACTTTTAATTTTGCAAAGAATCCAGGACAAAAAGGATTAGGTAAGAATTTTTAAAAATTGTATTTTATGTTTGATAGATTTAAATTATATTGAGAGTATTATTTTGTTTTGTAATGGAAAATTGTTTTCAGGATAAAGTCATGAAAATACAAATTACTGAAAACCATTGAGAGGCATGAACTTCTATATTCAATTTAAGGGTACCCTGAAAAGCCCCTGTGAATCCCTTTTGTTTTTTTTAAAGGGCCCCGTTCAAAAAATAGTTAAAATTTTATGTATATTTGTTAGGTCAGATAAGTCTGTTTTTAGTTATGATTCATTTGTAACTTCAAAAAGAATAGGAATGATTGTCAGGGCTGGGGAGATAACTCAAGTCGATCCAATATCATTTGTGAAGCTCTAAATTTAATCCCCAGCCCAAGTTTCCCCATCCATGTTTTCTCTGAGCACCCCTGGGTGTGGCCCATAGTGGAAAAAAAGGAATGGTTACCACTTATAGTTGTACCAGGAATAACTTCTGGTACCAATTAGCAGATGAATAAATTATACTGCATTTAGTAACTGTATGCTTTGGGATGACTAGGTGACATGGAAATCACAAAGAAAAGCGAGTAGCAGATAAAACTAAATGGTCCATGAGAGTTTTAGAAAAAAGGTGTAAAAAAACACAAACAGGGATGATTGGAAAGGCCTCCTGGGGCTAAATAGAGGGTTTAAGTGAAGGGATTTAGTGTTATCTGGGCAAGAGAAAATAAAAGGTGTTCCAGTAAGAAGATAGTTGTGAAGAGTGGCCTACAGCTTCAGACCTAAGCGTGACTGCTTTGTAGGAGAAAGAACACTGATTTGATCATAGTGGAAATGCTTGCTTGGATATTAAATTGGGATTTATTTGGAATTTGGGCATTGGAGACATAATAGGGATTTTGATGATGGCGGTAACTTTCATGGTTAAAAAGCGAACCTCTCTGCACCTAGCATTGTGGTACCTTATTTAATGTTTAACACTTTAGATATATTCATTTTTTATTCATTACTTTACCACCTGCCATGTACCAGATACATAGTATTATTTTGCAGGGGAAGAAACTGAGTCATGTAAAGTTTAAATGCCTTACCCAGGGAGGAAAGTGAATTTTTTTCAGAGTTTGTGGTTGAAGAGGGACAAAATGAAGGACAGAAAATGAAGAAGGACAAAAATGATTGTCTGTACTTTCAATGCACATACACTGTCATCAGATGCATACATCGAGGACCTGATGGTGCAAGCGTGAAAGATCAAGTACGACATCATTGATCTAACCGAGATGAGAAGGCATCAATCACATCAGGCCATTTTCGACACTGGAGAAGAACTGTTCATGTGACAAAAGAGGCATGGTGTGGTGTCAGTGTCCTTGTCAACACGAACTTGACCATGAGCACTGATTCATTCGAATGCCTAACAACCCGAATCGAACAATTACACTTGAATAGATGGAGCTTATTGCCGGCAGTTTCTATCTTCGTTGTCTTCGCACCAACATCCAATTATGATGATGAAGAAATTGAGAATTTCTACATGGAGCTGGAGAAGTTCTATAAAGAAGACCACACCTTCTACAAGATAATTGTCAGTGATTTTAATGCCAAGATCAGACCGAGAAGATCAGCTGAAGAACTCCACATCAGGACCCTTCGCCTAGAATGAAACGAACAGGGTGAGAGACCGTCTGAGCTCATCATGTTGACCAAGAACATTCATGGTAACTCAGTTCCAGAAGGCCAAATCTAAATGTTGGACATGAAAGTCTCTCGGTGGATGGTTCCACCACGAAATTGACCACATCATCTTCAATCCACGGTTTTGCCTGACCTATGTCGCTGTTGTTCCAAAATTCCAAACAGGATCGGGCCACTATCTCCTTCCTGCAAAATTCTACTTCACAGAGCAGGGAGAAAGGGCTGCAAAGTTTAAGAAGAAAACTCCCAGAATGACCAACTGGGAGCTCTTTGGCACTATTGGCGGCAACATGGGAAGTTGCCATCGTTGACAACATTGACGAGGAATATGATCGACTGGTTCAGTACCTTCATAATCATAATCATGATTCTCGTGAAGAACTTCTAGAGAGAGATAGCCATAAAAAAAGCCTCTCTTTGAAAACTCTCGAGCTCTTTTGCCAACGTGGCTTGGTGCAAGCCTCAGGCAACCACAAGCGAATGTCCGAGCTTGCAATGCAGTGCAGAGAAGCGATAAAGGAAGACCTCAAAGAGAGAAGAGCAGCAGTGCTGGCAGATGTGGTAGAAGCTGGGAAAGGCATTCGCAATGCCCGCCTGTTCTTTGCCAGCTGCATGACCAAGATGACTGCCTTCCGATGTCCTGATGGATCTATCACATCTTCCAGAAGGGCAATGGAGAAGATATTCCATGACTTCTACTTGGATCTCTTCGATAGCCACGTCCACCTGCCCACATAACCAAATCCCGCAGGATGGATGTGTCATTCCCAACATTCTCCCTTCTGAAATCCGACACGCCATTTCGTTGGTAAAGATGCGAACAGCACCCGGCCCAGACAAGGTCAGACCCGAACACCTAAAGAACCTGCTGTCAGTACTCATCAATACACTGGCTCGGCTCTTCACATGCTACCTGTCTGAATGTAAGGTTCCATCCTAGTGGAAAACCAGCAGGACTATTCTATTATACAGAAAGGGAGACATCCACGACATTGGCAACTGTTGCCCAGTCTGCCTGTTGTCTGTCATCTACAAGCTGTTCACTCGAGTCATCCTGAATAGACACTAGGTGAAGGACAACCATGCGAGCAAGCCGGGTTCCGCAAAGGATTCAGCACGTTCAACCATATCCACACGATAACCAAGCTCATTGAGGTTTCTCAGGAGTTCAAGATGCCGCTCTGTCTAATGTTCATTGATTTAAAGAAGGCCTTTGATTCTTTTGAGACAGAAGTGGTCATTGAAGCCCTAGCCAAACAGGCATTCAAACTCAATACATCAGGATCCGCCATGAGCTGTATTGTGGATTCACTACCAGGATCTCATCATTCTACGGGGCAGTGATCATTGACGTCAAGAGAGGGGTTCAGCAGGGTGATACCATTTCACCGAAACTCTTCAGTGCCACCCTCGAGAACATCATGCGACGACTGGTATGGGAAGGAATGGGAGTGAAGATAGATGGTTGGCAACTACACCACCTGCTCTTCGCTGATGACATCGTTCTAAAACACCAAACATTAGCCAAGCAGCACAAATGCGGCCAATTTTGACTGTGAGTGTGGAAAGGTCAGGCTACAGCTGAATCTCATGAAGACAAGTGTTTATGAGAAACGGTCTCATTCCTGTCATTCCATTCACTTTCAATGGAATGAACATCTCTGAATGCAACCGTTATGTATACCTAGGTACAGAAGTAAACATGACGAATGACCTGGCACCTGAGTTTCACAGGAGGAAGAGAGCGGCTTGGAACACCTTCAAAAGCCTCGAAGAAATAGCTAAGAGGACGAAGAACCTCCAGCTTCGGGCACAACTCTTCGATTCCACTGTTCTTCCTGCATTAACATATGCCTCACAGACCTGGGCCCTGCGAAAACAGGATGAGAATGCTATTTGGGTCTCCCAAAGAGGAATCGAAAGAGCTATGCTTGGAGTATCATGCTGCACTCAAGTGAGAGAAAGAATCCAGAGTTCTGACATCCGTTGATGATCGAGAATCAGGGACCCTGTCTTGTTTGCCAAGGTGTCAAAAATCAAATGGGCTGGACATGTAATGCGATTGGAGACGACTGCTGGACTAGAGCCGTTACCAACTGGATTCCATGGGACGTCAAAAGATCGCTTGGCTGCCCACCTTCGAGATGGTCAGACTTCTCAAGACCCTGAACGATCGGTTTGAGGCTGTTCATATTCCTAGAACGAACAGACGCCATTGGGCTACACTAGCACATGACAGGGACGAATGGAGACGTTTACTGGTGCCCGCTCGAGCAAATCGATGAGTAATGGGATATCAAGTGATCAAGTGGCTGAAGAGACTAATAAAAGTTTCCTACACCTATCTTTTTAAATATTTTATATGTAGGTTGAAGAAGCATTGAGCAAAGAAAGGATTATGTGAATAGGGAGTGGATTTACGAAGGGAATGAAAGCTGGAGAGGAAGGGATGCTCGTATAATATCTGAGTTGAAGATTTGGCTTATAAATGTGGGACCCTGGGTGGTATACCGCTTAGTGGTCAGAGGCACAGGCCATGCATGGAGCCAGGATTCAGTCGGCACTGAAGCGTCCTTGAGCACTTGCTGGATGGCTGTCATGGCATAACCAGGTCTGGGTTAGCACCACATTGCTGGGCCCGAGGCATTGGATGGACTGGGAGTCACCCCTAGACTGAACCTACCACATCCCTCAGAAATGACTGCACGTGACTGAACTGATGAAAGACTTACAAAATATCCATTCAGCAAAGTCTAAATTGAGAAGCTTGCTTTTCAACTGATTGCAATTTGGGGCTGGGTTTTATTTTTACAGGTATTTATTTTATTTTGCTGGCCAGATTCTCAAGACTCCCAAGGTTCGTCTCCTCCATTTTCTCACTGTGGTCATACATTAAGTACTATATATATTTTTTTCTCATTTGTTCATTCCATAAAAAAGCTGTCTTTAAACTTATGTGTATGTACTAAAATATTGTTCTATTTTACATGTTACTTTATATTTTGAAAAAAATTAAATATGAGAACATGTTTTAATATCAAGCGTTGATTTAAAGGGCTGAATGTGTTACCTCTTTTAATAAAGTACAAAAATGACATTTTCAGGTTACTAACAGTTTTGATATTGAATCATGTTTTTCCTTATATGGGGTATAAATAAAGCAAAATTAAGTTTTTAGTTTTTGGACATATTAGTATGATAGCTAACCAGAACTTTAGATTTCAGAAAAATTAAAAGATTTAAAAAGTATCTTTTTTGTAATGCGAAGAGTTCTGGAGATTGGTTGTAGTGTCTCTATACCCACTACTGCTGAACTGTGCA